GAATGTAAAATATATTAAAATTGTAAAATTAAAAATAATAATGATAAAGAGTTGATGGGGTTGACCTATTGTAAATTTGAAGAGTCCCGTATGAGTCACGGGTCATGAAAACCTTACTCATATTCGTTTACAATGGGCGAGTTTGGATTGGGTTTGCGAGTCGCATCAAATTTTGCCACCTCTACTTTTATTGAAGAAATCCCTCGCTAGCTCTGTGTGCGGTCAAGAAAACTGCAGGGCAAACGCAATGAAGTAAAATGAAAAATTAAAAAGTTTTTTCCCTCTAGTAAATAAAGACCAGAAGTAATGTTCTCATGGAAAGGTGGCAACAAGCTTAATGAATGAGTTGGGGTCTAGTTTTCACGAAAAAACGTAGGAAACCTACAAAAGAGGCCCATATATACATATATATATATGTATTACTATAACTTTAACTTTTAGCAACACGGTAGTAAGTTGATGAAAGTGCTCCCCATGTTGCTAAAAGTATTTTAATAACAAGAACTATGTTACTAATGTCTTTGTTGAAGAAGTTTTGGTTGACAATACATTACCAACAAGCTTCACATTACTGATTCAGAGCATTTTTTTCAGCAATATACCTCGTAATGCTAAAAGTATGGTTTCAATGACGTGACTTATGTTGTTAAAAAAGTCACCGGAGTCGATTATTGAAATTTTGCACCTTTTTCAGCAACATACCCCTTGTTGCTGAAAGTGAAGTTTTACTAACGTGGCTTATGTTGCTAAAAATAGTCATTGGAGCTAGTCATTGGAATTTTGGTACCCTTTTCAGCAACAATTCCCTTGTTACTGATAATGTCATAAAACCCACCCTATTTTCAGTAACACATCTCTTGTTGCTAAATATTGCATGAATAGTAGAGCATCCTACTTTTAGCAATAAGTCCCTTGTTGCTGCTACTCTCATGAATAGTAAGGCCACCTTATTCTCAGTAATATATCTCTTGTTGTTGAATATTATGTGAATAGTATTACAAAAAAAAAATTATGTGAATAGTAAAGCATCCTACTTTCAACAACAAGTCCCTTGTTGCTACCTATTCTGTCAATAGTACAAGCATGCACGCCTCTTGCCAATTAACAAGATATTCCACGTCGGTGATGCTCAAAAATGCCATTTTTTGAATTGTTTTACTGACAAGTGGTATGTTGCTATACTATTTTACTTTGAAAAAAATATAAATTCATATATTTTCTCTACCAATATTATGAATGCATATTTCT